TTTTTTTAATTTGCACAATACCCCTCAAGGTTTCTTTTAGAATGTTAAAAGAATCGATTTGAGGATCTTAAAGCTTCCAGTAAGTTTCCCATAATTTCAGTGTGTTAACTTCCCATATGTTCCCGCAGTTTGTCTATGGAGCTTTACTGGAATTCTCAGAATTTCATTTCATTCCTCAGAACTGCTTCAAAGTTCCTGCAATTGTTATGAAGTTAATGGGACTGCAATGAAGATCTCTAATATTTCATGAAGTTAATTACGAACTTAAAATAAATCATTTAATGTTTTCCTTAATTCAGGCACTTTGAAAATTTTCAATATCATGAACTTGTACATGGAATACGAAACGAGAAGACATTGAATGTTTTTAGAATTTGGACTTACGCAAATTAAGTAGGTTTTTTTAAACTGTGAACAGTGAAAAATTAAGTTCAACATTAATTGGATATGATTATAAATTTGTTTCTTTAAAACTGATTGCCATTTCTTAAAAACGCTTGGGTTAATTACTGTTGATCTTCCTTCCAGAAAAAGCATATTTTGAACGCATTTTATAAAAAGATTTATCCGTTAAAGTTTTGGGAAAACCTGGAAAACTCAGGAGTTTTTATTTATAAAAATGAGTAAACAGCCTATTGATAGAGAAAGACGATTAAACGTCACAAAGCAAATAATGATCAGTATTGAAATAAATTCACGCTAAAATAGTTGAAAATAGTGACTGATTACAAAAAAAAAAGTGACTTTAGTGACTTTACCTTAAAAAAGAGACTTTTTAGTGACTGGCTTGAAAAAAGTGAGCAAGTCACTAAAAAGTGACTCACTACCAGTCCTGGATTTGTTTATTTCTAAAGTCAATTCTGCAGACAACATCTCTATAATTTATTGAATTGTTCGTATCTCCTTTCGTCGATCAAGGAATCGATTTACTTGATTTGTCTTCTACCGCGCTCAGAGCGGTATGTTCACAATATTAATACATACAATCATTAATTTACTTTCTGAACTTAGACCTGTGCACCGGTCCTTTCATCGGCGGCGGCGTTAAATCAATTTGTCCCACGTTATTCAGCAGAGATGGTCGGGTATGGGTATTTTTACCAAAAACTCGACCGTTATCCGTGCCTTACGGGTTCGGGTATGCAAATAAATACATTTTCAGGTTCGGGTCGGGTATAGGTAAAAACAAACGTGGCATAGTACGGGTACGATACAAGTATGTCTGGTATCTTATCCAATTAAGAAAGTAATGATTTTGAGCATCAAAACAGACTGTTTGGCGAATTTCTTCAACAAATAACACATATTATTCATGAACCCAACCGGGGAATGTAAGATTCGTTTACAATTATGTGGTATTCATCATTGCAGGATGTTAGTGGAGACCGCATGAACGGACGATACGATGTACCGAGCTGCTGTCCAATGCATAAAAATGGAGAAAGAAAACGGTGGAGTGTATTACTGAGTGAAATGAATCATGTCGAGAAAAAAAAAGGTGCCGACTGGGCCTCGAACAATTTTAAGGGTGATCCTGCTAGGGTGCTCAAATTCCGGCTTATGAGCCAGCCAAGAATTACAAATATGTTCGCCCAGCTAGCCGTTTTCCTAACCTAAGAGAATCCTCTCAATAGAGTTTCCCAACAACCAAAAAACCATCGACGTCCCAAGTCAAATAATCCAATAATTCTTTTCGCCCAATTAGTTTTATCTCTTTCATTTTCCTTTTTCTTAAATTGAGTGGTGGTGCAGGTGACATAGGTTTATTAAAATCAAATTCGGTAAATTGGAATTCAATTTATAAAAAAAAAACTGGGTTTGAAATATAAAAAAATCCATTTATGAATTTGCTTGTTTTAATAATTTTTTATTTTTTGTTTTGCAAATCCCTGCTCTATCTCTCTCCTATTTGTGACGTCACTCCCCCAACCCCCTCTTTTTGTGTTCCCATGTTGTTGTAGTTAACGTTATTCTTTGCGATGTGGCGTAACTTCGCCTTCGACCAGTGCTGCCGAATCCTCCTAATGCGAGACACCATCACCAACACACACACACTTAATTTTGTTTGTGAAGATTCTTCTCGTGTCTTATACCATGGTGGGTATATAAATGGTGATACAGCTTTGTCACTATATAGGCGAGGAGGTCGCGGGGGGGGGGGGGGAAAGTGCGGTTTTAGAGCAAATAGTAAACAAAAATCCATGAATTTGACACATTAGAACACCTATATGTAGTCACCTTGGGTTATACATTAAGTTATCATTGTCAGTCTTTGCCAATTCTTCCACCGCGACGGGTCGCAGAATAAAATTTTGAACCTCCAGTGAGTGTTATAACCCTTAAATAGTCTCAACATTTGGTGCCGTGACCAGGATAGATTGCATTCGCATGCGATCACGAACCGACAGAACATTGTACTACGACGATTTCGAACGCCATAACATTTTGGCGATGTGCTAATCCATAGCGCCATTGCTGAACTGCGAAACAATTGGCTGAGCTGAATTGTGAGGCATCGGCATCCTGTTGGCTGATATTTTAAATACAAGGCACATTTTTGCCTTGGAAAAGGTAGGTACCCCTCCAAGCGGCTATATTTCCAATCCCAGGGCTACTGGTCTTCATTTTTCCCAGAAACCGGTCGCTTCGCCCATCGAGCTACTGCATCACCATCGGCGTACGTGAGTGCCTTACAAAATGGCGGAACATCAGGAGAAGCGGCAGCTGGTGCTTCGACGCACGTCACTGCTGGCATCGTTGGCTCGAGCGGGACAATTCCTGGAGGCATACGAAGAAGAGCGGGATAGGCTAGAGGTGGCACTGCAAATCGAAAATCTGGATACGATTCGGCAGAGCCTTGAAGACATTCAGGCGGCTCTGGAAGGCATCGAGGAGTCAAACGCAGGTATAATCCTTAACACCCAAATACGTTCCGGCTTTGAGAGCCAATTTTTCCGAATAAAGGCTGGTCTGCTTTCGAAATTTGCCGTCGTCCATTCCTACTGGCAATTCCAATCCTACCTCCCCTACGGTTTCCTCAAGGGTCTTATGCTTCCGACGATTACTCTGCCTGAATTCAACGGGGATTACAACGAGTGGTTGGCCTTCCATGACACCTTTCTGGAGTTTATCCACTCGAACCAGGACGTTCCAGATATCCAAAAATTCCACTACCTGAAGTCATCATTAATTGGATAAGCTGCTCAGGTCGTCAAGTCATTCACGATTAGTGCTGCCAACTATCCACTGGCCTGGCAAGCGAATGCAAACGAATACCTCCTCAAGAAGCGACACCTGCAGGCGATGTTAGAGATCCAATGGGTGAAGAAGGAGACGACAGCTTCGTTGCACGGAATCGTCGAAGAATTCGAGCGGCATACCAAAACTCTACGGCAGCTCGGTGAACCAGTGGACGCTTGGAGCACAATATTGGAGCATTTGCTGTGCGTTCGCCTTCCGGACGATTATCTCAAGGCGTGGGAAGATCATGCATCAACGACCGAGAACCCAACCTACGATGCTCTCATTGAGTTCCTTCATCGGCGCATCCGTGTACTGGAGTCCATTTCGGTCAATCGCGCTCAACCTCCGCCACAGTACGTCACCTCTCATGTTTCTTCCACTCGAAAAACCTCCAACATGCAGCGGTCCAAACCTCCAACATGCAGCGGTCGATAGTCCTCCCATCAAGTGTTATGCGCCATCCGTTGGTGAAGTGCATGAAGTTCGAGAAAAATGAAGCTGACCGGCTGACCCTGGTCAACGTGAATCGGCTTTGCTTGAACTGTTTCCGGTCTGATCATTTCTCGAGGAACTGTCCGTCGAGATACACGTGTAGGTTTTGCAAGAGGCGAATCCATTCCGGATTCGGAGACAATCCAATTACATCCGAATCAAATAATGAGACGCAGGTGTCTGCCAACGTAAATCTGGCCTCAGCGAGTGACGGTTCAACATCGTCCGTTCTATCGGCAGCCGCATCCACCCAACCAACGGAGACCGACTGCAGTCTATAGCCTCAAGAGATTGAGAGAAACGTTTTCATGCTAACAGCAATCGTTGTGGTCGTTGATCGCTATGGCAAGGAGCACTTGGCACGTGCTCTGTTGGATTGTGGATCCCAACCCAACCTGATTACCGAGAAGATGGCTCAATTACTAAGGCTGAAGCGAAGCAAGACGAAAGTTCTTGTCCAGGGAATTGGTCCACAACCACAGAACGTGAGGGAGTCCGTTCACGTTCAGATCCGGTCCAGGAAGGAGAACTTTTCCGTGGATACCGATTTCCTGATTCTTCCGAAGGTCACTCCTGAAATACCCGTCCACAATGTTCCAGTAGATCATTGGAATCTTCGACCGAAGCTCTTCCTGGCTGATCCCCAGTTCCATAAGCGTGCGCCAATGAACATGATTCTGGGTATTGAACATTTCTTCTCATTCACAGCAAAAAAATAATTTTGATATCACATCAAAGTGGATGCACTACAATCATGTCGAAAATTTCATGTAATTTTTATGACCACATAAATAAACAAATGCAGTAAAAGCAGCGTAATGTCAGTTCATGCATTGTATTAATGATAATTTTGTTCTTTTTAGCATGTAATATTACACCATATTTTCGACATGATTGTAGTGCATCCACTTTGACGTGATATCAAAATTATTTTTTTGCTGTGTTCTTCCAATCGGTGAACAGGATCAACTTGTCTGAATCGCTTCCCACGCTGATCGACAGCGTTTTCGGGTGGTTAGTGTCTGGATCAGCAAGCAAAGAACCTACTATAAGTGAGAATTCTCTACACTCCATTGTAGCGGTATCCCTGTTCAATCTGGAAGAGAGCATCGAGCGATTTTGGAAGGTTGAAGAGTTGCCGGTCCGGTCCGATTATTCATTAGAGGAGAAGCAGTGCGAAGAACTGTTTTCGTCTACCACTTCGAGAGATCCAGAGCCTGCCTCGTCGATCCAATTTTGACGAGCTGATCGGCTACTCAAAGTCAATGGCACTCAACCGATTCAATCTACTCGAACGAAGACTCGAGCGTAATCCTCAACTGAAGGAAGAATATCACAAGTTTATGGCGGAATATCTCTCCCTTGGTCATATGCGTCGTGTTCAAGACAGCAGCAAGAACCAGTCTAAAGGATACTATCTCCCGGTGGTGAAGGAAGCCAGCACGACGACAAAGGTACGTGTAGTCTTCGATTCGTCGGCCAAAACCTCTACAGGCTTTTCTCTAAACGAAGCTCTGTTAGTAGGTCCCGTGGTACAGGACGATCTCCTGTCAATCATTTTTCGGTTCCGGACGTTTCTTGTCGCACTGGTCAGCGACATTGCCAAAATGTACCGACAAGTCCTACTCCATCCAGACGATACACTCTTCCAGAGGATCTTGTGGAGGTTCAGCCAGTCAGATCCAATCGAAATTTTCGAGTTGATGAAGGTGACATATGGCTTGAGTCCATCCTCTTTCCTTGCTACACGCACGCTGCAGCAGCTGGCTAATGATGAGGGCAGCATATATCCACTGGCTGGACCAAACCTCGTAAAAAACTTCTACGTTGATGACTTTATTGGTGGAGCCCAAACCATCGAAGACGCTGTACAATTGAGGACGGAACTGAGTGAACTTCTGAAGAAAGGCGGCTTCGAACTTCGGAAGTGGACATCCCACCAGTTATCGGTCCTCATCCGACGAAATTGGCACGCAGTCGTCGATCAAGTTCGAAGCAAATGAAACAGTGAAAGCTCTCGGCATTTCCTGGGAACCCGAATCCGACAATCTCCATTTTGACTTTAAGATCCATCAGCACAAGGGGGCTCCGACTAAACGCTCCATTCTTTCCCCACCTCACAACTGTTTGATCCTTTGGGGTTGATATCGCCGATTATCATAAGGGGCAAGATGCTGATGCAACGGTTGTGGTTGCTTCCGTGTGGTTGGGACGACGAAGTTCCGGACTATATTGCGAATTCCTGGGAAGAGTTTGCAGGACAGATTCCGAAAGTTGCATATTTCCGTGTCAGCCGATACGCTTTGCTGCCGAACTCCATCATCCAACTCCATACGTTCTCCGATGCATCGGAATCAGCTTATGGAGCGACCCATACCGGGGGATGTAAGATTCGCTTACAATTATGTGGGATTCATCATCAGAGGATGTAAGTGGAGACGGCATGAACCGAGGATGCGATATACCTAGCTGCGGTCCAATGCAAGAAAATTGGAGACCGAAAAATGTAGAGTGTATTAGTGAGGTAAATTAGTTGTGTCGAAAAAAATAGGAAACAGATTGCCGACTGGACTCGAACAACGAACGTTGCGATTATCAGACCTGTGCTTTCTCCACTGCTCTCTCCATGCTCCTGAAAATGGATAGCCTAAAAGCAAATATGAAGAGCTCATTTTCTCGCATACTTGACTTCGTATGCTTTTTCTGCTGGAGAGATTCGAGGCTAGTGTGTGCGTCGTTCTACAATGTTCTACAATATGCGTCATTCTACAAGCTTACTGGTATAGTCAAAAACGTACATAGAACACGAAATATAAAAAAAAAAAACCATTACATCGCCTGCATGGTCAATTTCTAACATTCGTTGCGATGTTCATGAACAGAGGATGATAGGAAACGGAACTAACATTCATTGTAATAGATTTTTGGTTTGCGTGTACGTATGCCAGGTGTGTGGATTCTACTGGAAAGATTGCTTCTAAATCACGAGTCGGAAGACAACGGAAAGAATTTTGAAGGAGCTTCGAGTGAACTGGATGAGGTCTACCGAATGCTGCAAGAAGAAACGCGAAGGCATCAGATCACATCGGACCGAACTTGTGAGCGGATCACCTGGCACTTCAGTCCACCGAAGGCACCGCATTTCGGAGGATTGTGGGAGGCAGCAGTGAAAGTGGCCAAACGTCAACTGTACCGACAACTCGGCAACTCCAAGCTATCCTTCGAGGACCTCAGTACCGTGTTGACGCAAATCGAAGCGAGCATGAATTCGCGTCCCATCGTACCATTAAATGAGGATCCGAATGACATCTCTGCGCTCACTCCGGCGCATTTCCTGATCGGTGGCACAATGCACTCGCTCCCCGAACACAACCTGCATCGAATGCCGTCTTGGTCACTACCACCAGCTTCAGGGTATCTACCAGCAGTTTTGGCACCATTGGAGGACGGAATACCTGCAGGAGCTGCAACGCGACACGAAAGTCTGTCATCCCAATTCAGACATCCAGCCGGGGAGACTAGTCGTGCTGACCGACGAGTATCAGATACCAGTGAAATGGCCCTTGGCCCGAATAATTGCCGTTTATCCTGGCAAAGCCAACCTAGTTCGAGTCGTCTAATTGCGCACAAACCGAGGAGTCATCGTGCGACCAATCACTAGAATTTGTATGCTACCGATAGAAGAGACGGAGTACAGTCAACTGCCATCGGATGAGAACCAACCTGAAGTACTCCAAGAGGAAAATTGAATTGTAATTTAAATTAGTTTGTTAATTTGCCTTTTGCATTTGAATTTTGAAAATCATGTTTTCAAGGTGGTGGCGATGTGGTGTAACTTCGCCTTCGACCAGTGCTGCTGAATCCTCTTAATACGAGACACCATAACCAACACACACACACTTAATTTTGTTTGTGAAGATTCTTCTCGTGTCTGCTGCCGCAGAGGTTTATACCATGGTGGGTATATAAATGGTGATACAGCTTTGTCACTATATAGGCGAGGAGGTCGCGGGGGGGAAAGTGCGGTTTTAGAGCAAATTGTAAACAAACTCGGTCGCTGTCCCATACAAAAATCCAACATGGCTGAATCATGAATTTGACACATTAGAACACCTATATGTAGTCACCTTGGTTTATACATTAAGTTATCATTGTCAGTCTTTGCCAATTCTTCCACCGCGACGGGTCGCAGATTAAAATTTTGAACCTCCAGTGAGTGTTATAACCCTTAGTCTCAGATTCGCTCTAACCCCAGGAAAGCCGTCTTCCCGTACTAGGTATAATTCAGGGTTCCTACTGATTAATTGGTGTGATTGTGTGTGTGAGGATAATGGTTCGCGTACTAACAGTTGCTGCTCAATGGTACCTGGTCGGGCCACACTTTCCGGTAGTGGGTGGCTCGTCCATATGATAATGGACGGAGATAATCGTCCCGACGGTCGCCGTAGGGGATCCAATCTTCTCCAGAGCGGCCCGATGATGCTCGACGTTTCGGTGTCGAGCTGTTCACTGCGACCATGGGTTATCTTGGAGATGAACAGGCGATAGTTGGAGATCGCTATGACCGCAACGATTCTCCGGGTTAGATAACGCCGTACCCTAACCTCAAAAAAGAACACGATGAGAGAGCGTGGCCAGAGTGGTGATCAATAGCGCGATGGGCACCGGGCTAGGCGGCTATCGTCGAGTGGCGTTGACGGCTGATCTCACTAGACACAGTATTTCCATAGAGGTAACTCTAAGAGCAGAAGGTCCCGAAGAAACGATCTCAAATTTTTGGCTCAGCTCTGGTACTATCTTCGGTCCCAAGTTAATCGATTCACCCCTCGAAACATAGGAAAATCCACTAACCCCTCATTTTATCTGTCAAACTTTCATAGCGAATCAAAACAAACATAGTGTAGTACTGGAATTTATTCTAGAATGGGGTACGTTAGTCGATTTGCTTGGGACCAATAGGCTAGTCAAGTAGTGAGCCAATTTTAAATCGTTAGTTTCGTATTGATTGTTGGTAATTCACCGTTGAGAATAGTCCCGATGTGCACTAGCTTCGATGGGCAATTTTCTGTGGGGTGGTATCGCACGGAGGGCCTCCGAATTTCTACGCTGGCGCTGGCAGCCTTTCCCCTTGTGGACCTTCCCACGAAACAGGCAATCACTTTAGGCGGGTGATGCACGTAGACCGAGTTCTTCTTCCGATGACCAACGCTCTCCGAATGTCCTAAATATAGTGGTACGCAACCACGTCTGATACCACCAACCTATGAATCAACTTCACTCTGAGTGCCGGCGGCGGTGGCATGACGCGTTGCCGCATAGGACAATTATGCACCGCTCGGCTTGCAATAATATGCAAGAGAAGGTAGTCGATTTTTTCATTGACGAAAAGAGATACGACTATATACTACGACTACGATAAATACGACCGACCTGGGCCTCCCTTAGCTCAGTCGGTAAAGGCGCAGCTACAAAGCAAGACCATGATGGAGGTGGCTGGGTTCGATTCCCGGTCCGGTCTAGGAATTTTTCGGGTTGGAAAATTTCTCGACTTCCCTGGGCATAGAAGTATGATTAGACTTGCCACACAATCATATCAATGCAAAAATGGTACAGGCATCGAAAGCTTTTAATTAATAAAGGGTGTCCACGATGAAATTGCCACACTATGAAATTGCTCTAACTTTTTATACGTTGGGTAGAATTTAATGAAAATTTGGGTGGATTTAGTTCATAATGCATTATTTACATCCTGCAAGTTTTAAAGTCCTGTGATCAAAACTCGCGGAAATGGAGTCGAAAGAACAGCTCGTGCGTGATAAAATCTTGCGCATTCATCACGAGAACAAGGATCTCTCGCATCGTTCCATCGCTAAAACGTTGGGAATCGCGAATTCCACGGTGTCGCGAGTGATTAAGCGGTTCGAGGAACGGTTGACCACCGATCGGAAGCCCAGAAGTGAAGGAAAAAGTATTCCGTACAACACCAAAAATCACAACCGCGTAGTTGGGGCCTTCAACCGAAATCCGAACGCCTCCGTTAGGGATGTGGCTAAGAAGCTGCACCTAAGCCGAAGTTTTGTCCAGAAGGCCAAAACTTAGGCTGGGCTTCGAACGTTCAAGATACAAAAGGCCCCTAATCGTGACGAGTAGCAGAACAAGTCCGCCAAAACCCGTGCCAGGAAGTTGTACCTCAACATGCTGACGAAAGTTGAATGCTGCATCATGGACGACGAAACATATGTGAAGGCCGACTTCAAACAGATCCCCGGCAACCTGTTTTTCACGGCCAAGGATAAGTTCAGCGTTCCGGAGCATGTCCGCACTCAGAAGATGTCCAAATTTGCGAAGAAATTCCTGGTTTGGCAAGCCATCTGCACGTGCGGGAAGCGGAGTGCACCTTTCGTGACCTAGGACACGATGAACGGACAGGTGTACATAAAAGAGTGCCTCCAGAAGCGGCTGCTTCCTCTCCTGAAGGCCCACAACGTCCCAACAATCTTCTGGCCGGATTTGGCCTCATGCCACTACTCCAAGGACGTGCTGAAGTGTTATGCGGACAATAAGGTCAATTTCGTGCCGAAAATGTTCAACCCTCCCAACACTCCGGAGCTCCGCCCCATCGAGAAGTACTGGGCGATTATGAAGCAGCACCTTCTTAAACGACCTAAGGTAGTGAAGACAGTCGAGGAACTGAAGAAAGTATGGGTTTACATGCAAAAAACGGTTGATTCACAGGTTGTGCAGAATCTTATGGCCGGGGTTAAGGCCAAGGTGCGGGCATTTGCGTATGGACTGTAAATAAAATACGAGTAAAATGGTAAAATGAAGTTTAATAGTTATTTCTCAATCCCTGAAAATTTGATGGCAATCGGATGAAAACTCGAATTTTGCGAATCAATTTTGTGTGTGGCAATTTCATCGTGAACACCCTTTAACTGTGGAAGTGCATCAAGAACACTAAGTTGAGAGCACGCAATAAGCTAATATGCGATATGTAATAAGC